CATGACTTGAACATGTGACCTAATCATTAAGAAGGATTTTTGCTTAGAACCTGTGTCGGAAGGCTTCTCCCCTCTTTCAGCTGTAGTGAAGCTTGCCACTCGAATTCTGTACCCTTGTCATAATCGGCGTCTAGAGCTGTGGACTTGATTGGCCTTAACTTGGGACGCGCACACTATATATATCATATAACTAACTAATAATTTGGTTTTGTGTGAGATTTAATTAACCTCGGAAAATGACGTCGACCTTTACGATACGGAAGGGCTCGAATTTCCTGCGCAGTGTGGAGGTTACTGGCACTACAATAGCTGAATGCAAGTGTAGTCAATTGCTAAGAGGTGGGTTGAGTTTTCGAGTGCATCTGGCTTAGAATTTGCTGATACTTATATCCATGATTTAAACCTGGCATCCCTCTACCTGGCATAGGTTGGTTTGTCAAACTTTTTTGCTGGCCTACTTCTCGAATTTTAGCAGAAAATTACAGGTGTTCTTAAAGAGAGCTTTATCAACAGAATTAGAAGCATGTTTATAATATTAAATAACAAATGGCAGCAAAGGATTACACAGCCAGGTAAGGTTAAGCTATTTAAGCTTATTACTTAATTTTCCAGCCCTTTTTTTGACCTCTCTCGTCTCTTTGGATTCCTGTACCAAAGTAAAAAACTATAGTTTTCAGCTACGAGCCCAACACGAACCCGACGTATTAGCCAGAGGTCCCTTTACTACAGTTCGGAGCCGCGGACTTGTTTTATATAGTTTTCTACACGAGGTCGCTGCAAAAAGTGCAGCCTTACCTAATGTCCACCTACTGTTACTCATTTTATATTAAGATTTAAAAATCTAATACGTATTGGTATGGTGAGTAACTTTCAGTAATAGTAATAAATCACGCAGCAATAGTACATCATGTAGTTTTAAAATGCATGATAATATATAATATAAGTAGTCCAAAGTATTCATAATACATTACTCTCATTGAGTAACGCAACGTAATACGATACAAAATACATTTTGGGCCATGTACTCTGTAATCTGTAATCTACATTTTAAAAGTGACCTTCCCAACACTGGACATAGCTTTAACAAGGTGCTGGAAACTTTCCTCTGGGATCTTGGTGCATATTAATGGTCCATATTAACATGATAACATCATGAAGTTGCTGAAAATCAGCTGCAACGCTTAAATGCAACTCTCCCATTCCACCACATCCCAAGGTGCTGTATTGGAATGAGATCTGGTTTAATTGCAGGTTGACTTCACTGAGTGCAGGGACATTGTGACATTGTGTGCGCTTCCTAATCAAAGTAGTCATCAGAAAATGGAAACGCTGTTGTCATAAAGGGACTGTGGCATTTTAAACTATATTTAATTGGTACTAAGCCCTAGAGTTTGCCAGGGAAATATCCCCACATCAACATGCTACCAACAGGCTGGATTGTTGAAACAAGGCAGAATAGAGCAATACTCTTGTGTTATTTACAGCAAATTAAGACTGCCAGCTGAATGTTGAAGTGGAAATTGAGATTACTCTGACTGCGCAATGTTTTGGAATCTGTTATCATCAGATTTTGATGACAGGAAGAGCACCTACCGTGGTATTCTGTTGCTGTACCCCATCTATTTCAATGTGGCATCAGGAAGGCATTGTTTCCCACAGAACTGTTTCTCACTAGATATTAGGCATGGTTGTGCAGGAAAAATCTAGTAGATCAGCAGTTTCTTCAAAACACAAACCAGCCCACGTGGCATCAATAACCATATGGTTTCTTGTCTACACACATAATCGAGACGCTCAGTCGTTTATCTACACAACATAAACATTTTTGTTTATTATCCTTATATTCTTGTTAGAATACTGTTTAATTTTTCTTCAGTTGTTTTAGTATTAGGCAGCGCGCTCTTTTAATATTAGTTCTTTGCGGAATTCTTTCACCTTCAGTATAATTTTGTTAAGTTTTCATAATATTATGGCTATTTGATTATTTTACATAGTACCAACTTTTAGCTAATCAGTTATTAATTATGTCATATTTTATTAATTGTTTTGTTAGTTATTTTTATGTTTGTTTTTTCTTTTTTTGGAAAATACTTAAGTTTCAAGTTTTATTTAGCTATATTGATTTAGTTTGGTCAACACATTATAAGACGTTGTAGTTAGTGTATGACAGTAGGACAATGGAATATTAAAGAAAGGTGTAGAGGCAAGAATAAAGCCAAAGGTGTGTCATAGAATAAGGAACGTTGAGGAGTCAGTGATAAATATATAAAAAACATGACTTAATTCATTGAAGTCACTTTGGGGATACCTAGTTGTGGAGAGATTAGACAGCATAACCATCGGAATGGAGCATAAGCAAACAACAGGGCAACATTGAAAAAAAGACATCACATAACTACTAGCAGTAATATCATGGATATTAATAACATATTTACACCAATAGGACACCTGTGAGCAAGCGGTAGTTGTGTGTTGTATTGCATTATGTAGCGCATGCTTGTATTTAAAAGGTTCCTTCATGTAATGATCTGCTAGAGGGTGTGGGGAGCCACAGCCCCGTCCTCCAGGGCATGAAGCAGGTATGGAGGAGATCAAAACTCCAGACATCCAGAGGCCCTCAGAACACAAGAGACCAAGGAAGACCAACAGAGGGGCAGCCGCGCCACTGTCCCAGAAAGAGCTGAGGAGAGTCCCAGATGAGGGCTCACTCAGCAGCCGCGGAGCAGAAGCCAGGGGGAGTTGCAGTGACGCGCCCGTGAGCTCCGCCGGCAGCCAGCTGTGCCTGAGTGACCGAGCCCCAGGCCGAGAGGCCGGGGGCACCCCACCTCCGAAGTGGCCCGAGCGAGCCCCAGGCTCCAGGCCCCGATAAGCGGCGCCAAGGAGTGAGCCGGTGTGTACCCGCCACATTGAAATAGATGGGGTACAGCAACAGAATACCACGGTAGGTGCTCTTCCTGTCATCAAAATCTGATGATAACAGATTCCAAAACATTGCGCAGTCAGAGTAATCTCAATTTCCACTTCAACATTCAGCTGGCAGTCTTAATTTGCTGTAAATAACACAAGAGTATTGCTCTATTCTGCCTTGTTTCAACAATCCAGCCTGTTGGTAGCATGTTGATGTGGGGATATTTCCCTGGCAAACTCTAGGGCTTAGTACCAATTAAATATAGTTTAAAATGCCACAGTCCCTTTATGACAACAGCGTTTCCATTTTCTGATGACTACTTTGATTAGGAAGCGCACACAATGTCACAATGTCCCTGCACTCAGTGAAGTCAACCTGCAATTAAACCAGATCTCATTCCAATACAGCACCTTGGGATGTGGTGGAATGGGAGAGTTGCATTTAAGCGTTGCAGCTGATTTTCAGCAACTTCATGATGTTATCATGTTAATATGGACCATTAATATGCACCAAGATCCCAGAGGAAAGTTTCCAGCACCTTGTTAAAGCTATGTCCAGTGTTGGGAAGGTCACTTTTAAAATGTAGATTACAGATTACAGAGTACATGGCCCAAAACGTATTTTGTATCGTATTACGTTACGTTACTCAATGAGAGTAATGTATTATGAATACTTTGGACTACTTATATTATATATTATCATGCATTTTAAAACTACATGATGTACTATTGCTGCGTGATTTATTACTATTACTGAAAGTTACTCACCATACCAATACGTATTAGATTTTTAAATCTTAATATAAAATGAGTAACAGTAGGTGGACATTAGGTAAGGCTGCACTTTTTGCAGCGACCTCGTGTAGAAAACTATATAAAACAAGTCCGCGGCTCCGAACTGTAGTAAAGGGACCTCTGGCTAATACGTCGGGTTCGTGTTGGGCTCATAGCTGAAAACTATAGTTTTTTACTTTGCTGTCAGGATCAACAGAGACAGAGAGAGGCGTCAAAAGGCTGCTCCAAATTAGTAATAGCTTAATAGCTTACTTACAACTGGGCTCGTCAGGTACTCTTTTTGGCTGCAGTGGTTATTATTATATTTACATGCTTCTCCCATTTCTGGTCAGTGACAACTCTTACTTTATGACTCTTCTTTGTCTCCCTCCCTCACGCTCACAGACACATAACAGGTATGACAGTCCATTCTCCCTGCAGCACGGACTACACTGCCCATGAGGCTACATTCTTTAGGGCTATGCCTGTAACACTCTGTCTATTGCCTTCATATTAAATCATTTTTTCAATAATAATTAAAAAAAATATTTTTTCATGTCATTATGTGGGCCGCAAGTAGAGGTGACATCGTCCGCGAGATTGAGACCCAGGCATTAGAGCAGGGGTGGGCAATTCCAGGCCCCGAGGGCCGGTGTTCCTGCAGGTTTTAGATCTCACCCTGGGTCAACACACCTGAATCACATGATTAGTTCGTTACCAGGCCTCTGGAGAACTTCAGGACATGTTGAGGAGCTAATTTAGCCATTTAAATCAGCTGTGTTGGTTCAAGGACACATCTAAAACCTGCAGGGACACCGGCCTCGGACCGACCCCTGCATTAGAGCCTCTTATTGCCTGTTTTGTTTGGGTTTCCAGAGGGCATAGCCTAACATATAAAACAGGAAAAGACCACCATGTAATCCATTTACTTCAGCAAAGTAACTGTATCCTGAGTACCGCTTTTTTAAATGCTAACTGTAACGGAATACAGTCCCCAACACTGGCTATGTCATAATGAACTATTGCATTTGACCCACTTTTGGTTAGGTGTATGTAATAAAGTATTTGTTGCGTGTATGCAGATATTTTCTTATGTTTTTATATTCTGTCAAATGTTTCTCAAACACAGTCTCAATTTCCACATCAGAATTTTAAATTTGCACAAAAAAGAGCTTTAACCTGTTTCGCGTTCTGTTATTTGAAGTCACAAAATAGCAGAAACAAATAGATACCATTGACCAAACATACAAAGCATTGGAGGAATTAAAGAAACATTTATTAATTCAAAATTAAAAAAAAAACAAGGACTACGTACAGTTTCAAATTTTGCCCTCAGATATGCAATAAATCGAAGTTACAGGCTTTGAGAGCCCAAATGGTGGAACAAACAAATTGCCAAGTCTCAAATATAAGGTCAATAACAGAATATGAGGTTCCTTTTAAAATTCAGGAAATGCTCAACATTGTCATGAAGTTCAACATTTAACTTGAGAGTAGACGCTGTCCTCAGCAAACTCTCTCTTCCGTCTTCCTTTTGTTTTTCTTTCAGAGAAATTAATTGAGGCGTAGTTTAGCTCTTCATCAGCTTCACCCTGCTTTATAATTAAAACCATGAGCAAAAACTGTAATAAATAACTGGTAAAACAATATTTTAACTAACAATATTTGTTATTACTTACAGCTTGGTGCAATTTGTCATTTTGTGCTCCTGATATAGCACTTTCTGTTCCTGTAAATATGACAGTAGATCAAAAATGCACTTGATGTGGCATTCGTTCCTGAATTTGTCTGACGTGTACATATAGAATATATATTTATTTTCCATTTTCCAAGTGCAATGAGATCATTTTTGCCTTTAAGAAAGACTATAACTTCTATAACACTTACCTTTATATGGTTTCCATAATCTTTGGTAGAAGATGAGGAAAACATTTCCAATGACAGAAATGGACAAGAACACTAATAAGGTCATTTGGATAGATATTGATTGTGTTGTTTGTTCTGGAAAATAAAAACAAATAAATCTTCTTAAAAAGTCTTATGCCTCATTTTAGAATAACATGTTATTGTGTATTAATTCCAGTACTTAATTCATAATCATACCAAGTTCCACTGAAGATCCATTTCCAAATATAATCTCTCCACATGTGGCCACAGCGCAGTAGTAAGTCCCAGCATCAAAAGCGCTGATATTTTTAGAGAAGTGATAAACACAGTTTTTCTGAGTCTCCGATATTTTCTCACATTCGTTTTTTCTATTTCCATCAGAGTAGATGATGTTTGGGTGAGAATTTTGTGATCCTGCTCTGAACCAAAAGACATTATAATCTCCTGGACATGCCTCATTCTGAGACTCAGAGAGGACTGAACACTCAAGAGTCACTGTGTCTCCTGTACGGTCCGGATTTGATTCTGTCGGCTGCTGGACAACAGAGTAGTTTGATGTCCTCTGAATGTTTCCTTTATAATACAAAACACAAACATTCTTCAAAGCATGCTCAGAAAATATTTGATAAATTAGGGTGCAAAATTACCTTTCACTAACAGGTATGTCCCACTCCATTCAGCATTAATCCACTCTGTGATTCCACAGTGATAGATTCCCTCATCCTCTTGGATTGTCTTCAGAATCATCAAGTTGCTAAAATTTTTATCATTATTTACATTAAATCTTGAATTTGAAAATTCAGGACCATATTCCGGTGGTGTATTTTTATACAGTGCCAATATCAATTTAAGAGTTTCTCCAACGTTCTGCTTGTACCAGTAGATTGCTTTACTGCTCAGCTCTTTCGGTAAAGCACATGTTAAGGTTGCCGCTTCACCAAGTTGAACTATGTTCACTGGCACCAGAGAGTCTGAGTTGAAACAAAACACAGAAAAACAAAATTTTGCTTGAAAATTTTTAAATTGTTATCATTTCAAAAACATTATTGTTATTATCTATAACTCTACACATATATATTTTACAATAACAACATATATCAGATTTATGAACAGAGAAAAGTAGCCCTTACGTCCTTGATGAAGAAATAGCCATGTCATCCATAACCCCACCATCTTGATACTACTCCTTTTTAGGAACCTCATTGCTATTTCTGTGAGAGAAGGAAGTGAGATGAGTGACTGGGTAAGACCATCTATGCATATGATAGCTCTGATTGGTTAAAAAATAATAGATTCAAAAGTACACTTCCTGTCACATTGATCTCAACCAGAGGTTTTTCTGTTTCATCTTCTATTGCAGTTGTTCAGATTGTTCAGTTTTCATATTTATATTCGAGTTTGTGATTGTAATCCATCTTCTCAAGCAATAAGCATGGATCCATGGATAATAATTATTGGTACATACAACAAGATATACCTCAGATATGTAACACTTTGTAACACTTTGTAACACTTTGTAACACTTTCGAGTAAATATGCAATGTTTCTTTGGTGGGAAGGTCATGAAATTTCTTCCTTGGAAGAGTTGAAGAGCAGACTGAACTAATAGAATAATAAGTGCAAGATTTTATTTGTGATTTTTTTTTGATAATCACAATATGCAAGCTCTTTTTCTATTAGTTAGCTCCAGGTACACCCTTATTCAGAGATCATGGGTATCATGATTGTAGTTATGAAATCAATTTTTTTGTCAAAAGGTTTTCTTTTTCATCCCTGGCTCAAACTACCATCAGGTTCCTTACCTCCAATTTTTTCTGGGGGAGTACTGTGGTGTATCTTTAAGACTGACTAAGGCTCACCCCAGTCCATTTGTTTGTCTTCTCCACTTCCAAACAAGAGTTGCTCCACCTGAGACAGCAAGGAGGAAGTCTGTGCTACAGCCCATCAGCATCAATGGGGAGTGCGTGGAAAGGTTGTCCAGTTTCAAGTCCCTGGCTGTGCACATAGACATAGACCTCCAATGGAGCTCAAATACCTTGGCGGTTGTAAAGAACACCCAACAGCTTCTCCACTTACTGAGAATCCTCAGAAAAGTGGACCTGAAGTGGGGGCTGCTGATTGTCTTCTACTGTTGCTTCATTGAAAGTGTGCTGACATACTGCATCTGTCTATGGTTCTCCAGCTGCACCATGGCACACAAAAAGGCACTTCAGAGGGTCATTAATATGGCCCAAAATATCATCGGACATCCTCTTCCCTCCCTCAAGGACCTGTACAGCACTCACAGGGCACGCAGCATCCTGCAGGATTGCACACACCCAGGACACCGGGTGTTAAGCTGCTGCTGTCTGGCACGAGATTCAGTTTGCTGAGGTGGCGGACAAACAGACTCAAGGACAGATTTTACAGGGCAATAGCTCAAAACAATGCTAACAGACACCAAAGCGCTCCTCAAAGACAAGAGGAGGGCCTTCCGAGCAGGCAATAGAGAGGAGGTGAGAATGGGTCTATGGCGTTATTAAAGGGAAAGATCAGAGAGGCTAAAGAAAATTACAGGAGAAAGCTGGAGTGAAAACTCCAGCAGAAGAGCATGAGAGTGGTGTGGAGTGCCGTGACACCCCTCTCCCACCGATTACTTTTACTCACGACCAGATGCAAAGACAAATGAGAAGACTCCACTCAGGCAAGTCTGCTGGCCAGACAGGATGAGTCCCCGTGTCCTCAAGGCCTGTGCAGCCCAGCCTTATGGATTCTTTAATAAACTGTTCATGTTGAGTCTGAGTCTGCAGAGGGTCCCATTGCGGTGGACGACATCATGCCTCGTTCCTGTACCAAAGATGCCACGTCCCAGTGGCTCCAGGGTTTCGAGCCTGTGGCACTGACTTTCCACGTCATGAAGACCATGGAAAGAGTCATTCTTGACAAGCTTCCAACCTATTGTCAGGCCACATCAGCATCCCCTTTAGTTCTCTTACCAGCTTACCAGAGCTGAGGACGCCATCGCCTGCCTGCTCTATGCCCATCTGGACCAGCCAGCGAGCACAGTGAGGGTCATGTTTTCAATAACATCAGGCCGACCCTCCTGGGTGATAAGCCCACAGCAATGCAGGTGGATGCCTCTCTGGTGTCCTGGGTTGTTGATTACCTCACAGGAAGACCACAACATGTGTGTCTTCAACATTATGTGTCTGACAAGGTTAGCAGCAACACAGGCGCACCACAAGGGACTGTCCTCTCCCCTTTCCTCTTCAACCTCTACACCACAGACTTCAGCCACTGCACAGAGACCTGCCATCCTCAGAAGTTTTCTGATGACTCTGTGGTGGTTGTATGCATCAGTGAGGGCGATGAGATGGAGTACCTGGCTGCGGTTCAAGCCTTTGTAAATGGTGCAAGTAAAATCATCTGCAACTCAACGTGACAAAGACCAAAGACTTGAAATTAGACTTTAAGAGGACCAAACCTGTGACGCCTGTTTCAATCCAGGGAGTCGATGTGGACACTTTGGTGGACTACAAATACCTCGGAGTACACATGACAATGCCCAATATTTTTTATGAGTCTGTTGTGGTGAGTTGTGGGTGGCAGATACCAACAGAGTCAATAAACTGATCTACAAGGCCAGTAATGTTGTGAGTATGGAGCTGGACTCCCCTAAGGTGGTGTAGGAGAGGCGGATGTAGTCCAAAAAAATGCTGGACAATACCTCCCACCCACTCCACTATGTGCTGGCAGGTCACAGGAACACGTTCAGTGAGAGGCTGAGATTAACCAAATGCACCACTAATCTCCCTGTACAACTCCTCCATCTAATGCACAGTTCACAGTGCAATAGTTACACATTTTTGCACATGCTCTGTAGTAAAATTAACAAAGTTTTACAGTTGTCAACCATGTATATTTCACCTCTATAATATACTGGATATTTATGATTGAGCTATTCGTATATATTAGAGTTATTTCTTATATTTCTTAACTTTGTAATATATTGTGTTATTTAATTTAATCCAGTCTGTTACAGCTATTGTCTTGGAGCAACTGTAACCACATAATTTCCTTTTAGTATTCTGATTCTGATGATGATATACATTGTGAATAAACATGCTCCCTGTGGGGACACTGAAGAGAGATTAGGCTGGTAGTCAAGCTGCCTCTGGCTCTGTTTTCACTCCTCTTATATCAATTATGATATTGTTAAATTGTTATAGACATTTCCAGATGTCTGCATAAACAGAGGCAGGGAAATAGAGCAGGTAAGTTTTCCCTCACTAATCAGCTTTGCTAACATGTAGAGGAGTGCAGTGTAAATCGATCGTGGCTCAAGAGTTGGGAGTTTGTCTTGTAATCGGAAGGTTGCCGGTTCGAGCCCCGGCTCGGACAGTCTTGGTCGTTGTGTCCTTGGGCAAGACACTTCACCCGTTGCCTACTGGTGGTGGTCAGAGGGCCCGGTGGCGCCAGTGTCC